GCTGTCGCCATCGGCCACTGCCGTCAGCGAGCGAACTGCCGCCCCCCGGGCCCGGGAACCTGCGGTGCGAGCCCCGCGCAGCGGGAGCCGGGACGGGCGGTACCGAGCGCGTTACCGGCCCTGCCCTGCGCCTTGCGCTCCCTGCCAGCATCCCCGCAGGAGCCTCCACAAAAGCCTGCTTGGTTGTGGGGTTTGCTATTTTTTTTTTTCTTTAGATAATAATACTAAGTTTTCATAACTCATCCTTTTAGGATCTCATAATCACCAGAATTCACTAGGAATTGAGATTAAAAGTCCCACTGAAAGTGATCAAGTTTACAAATCTTAATTTTCATTTCTGACCGAGAGTTATCAGTGCATCATGATGTGATTCCTCCTCTGTAGCTCAAGAAATAAGGTCTGTGACTCTGTAACTATCAATATAGCAACAAAGACAGTGAACCACACTTATGCATTACTCTTCTCAGCAATTTAAAGAAACAAAGTAAATATTCAGGCAATATTTTTTCCTCTCTGAATGGAAGTAACAAGAGAGGAGGGAAATGTCGCTGGGCACGTTTCCACTGACGTTACACAGAGTCCTTCAGACCACACACAGAATCATCCCATCCAGCCTTTGTTAAGGAGAAACTAAAACCTGTCACTTTTACTTTTGCATGAGTAAGTACTTACGACTCTGTTACACCTTGAGATACTTAATCATATTTTTTCTTTTTTTTTTTTTTTAAATCTGACTTAAGAAAACGCAAAATGAAAGAACACAGCATTAAAATTGCAATGTATTCTCTACTTCAAACTGTTGACATTCTGAAACTATGATTCAGAATTGGAAAAGCTGTTTATAAAAAGGTCAACTTTCTATAAAAACGGCAGGTTTGATAAGATCTCTTTTTTTTTTTTTTTCAGGAAAAATTTCTATCAAAAATGTTCAAACAGATGTACTGTGTTGACCTACTGCAACGCAATCTGTAGTCCATGACCGAGTTTTGTGTAGTTTGTTAATGTGAACAAACATCCTAACAAAAGGGAAGACAGCCTCTAGTATAGGATCAGGCTGTGGGCAGAGCCCACTGGAGGATGGAGACCCCAGGGCACAGGCCCTAGAGCATTCTTCTCTGCTCATCCAGGATGGCCTGTTCTCAACCCCACCACTGACTTTTCATCCACATGCCACACCTAGAATTACAGCGTGGCATAGCCTGCCCCGAGGCAATGTTTTATCTTTAGTCTTTCCTGCATTTAAAAATAAATAAATAAATAAATCACAATGAAAACGGTGCTTCCACCAGTGGGATTAATGATGATGTGGTGCAACCCGAGAGTGCAGGGATGAGAAAGGTAACGTTCTCCCAAGTGGAAAGTTGTTTTGTTTCTTTCTGTAACATAAAATCTCAGAATTCTGTGGCAATTACAAATGGAAGAGATGTGCTAGATAAACAGCTTAGGTTGTAAAACAAACAGTACTCTCCAAACAAAAGATGTGGGGCTCTAGGAACAGCACAGTAACATACAACCATTATGGCCTTAGGAAAACCTAAGTGGTATGAATTCACTATGAAGAGAACAAAACTGTTGCTTTCTACTGATCTTTCATAAGAATCATTTTACCTGGATTTGAAGAGGACAACCCTAAGCTACTTCCCTTGAAAGACACTCGGTATAAATCCTGCTTTATAAGCATCATACAGTACCCCAAAACATTTGCATTGAGGAAGGAAATTAGCAGAGGTGCCCATTCAAGCATAAGAGCTAAAACTTCTTTTAATGGTAATCTTTACTTTTCTCCCTCTTCCCTTTAGCTGACTAACTTTAGCCAGGTACCATCTGTTTTGAAAGACAGAATAAACAGGAACAACAAGAACTACAGTGAAAATAAGTGATTTATGCACCTGGGATTATTAATTAATATTCACCTTTCAATGGCAAACATTTAATCTTTTCTTTTGCAGTATGTCCCAATGGAGTCAAGTTCAACAACTGGAAATAAAGTTTTTGGAGCAGGTAGACCAGTTCTATGATGATAACTTCCCCATGGAAATCCGGCATCTGCTAGCACAATGGATAGAAGGCCAAGATTGGTAGGATTAAATTTATTCCCTCTCTTATGGTTTCAGTCATGAACAATTTTTTTACTTGTCTGGCAGATTTCAGGGTGCTCATTTGTCAAGTGTGCAGGCACTTGCACTCCAAGAATAGTATGCCACTAGTTAGAGATTTAGCCTGTTAAATTGTCAATCTTTAAGGCATGTCTGGAAGTTAAGTTTCATTTGAACTTATTCCTAAACAAAATCCAATTAAAATGGTAAAGAAAAATCAATGTTATTACAGGCTTTTTGTAGGAAAAAAAAGTTAGTTTTCAGTGGAAGTGTTATACATTTACCTCTTGCAGCATAAAATTATTCATTTGTCCAAAACTGCACTTAAAGCTGGATATGTAATTTTGAGGAACAAGCCAGCTATTTGAAAGAACCATTCTTCAGAAGATGAATTTATGCACAAATTTCAATCAAATTCACTGGATATTTATCTTAAGAAAATTCAGAGCTAAGTGCCAAAAAAAGTTTGTATTAGTTGTACCAGGAAGACATCTCAATTTTTCAAGCTAAATCCACAAGACTATTGCAAAAGAAGTCTGCTAAGAAATGTAATCTTTCCTTACAGTTTATAGCCCAGTGTTTATGCAACTACAGGAACATGGTAAACATTAAAATCTCCTTTTCACAAGATTTACCAGGCATATCTCAAACAGACATCTGCCATTTGGAGGGCAAGGAGAGAGAACATACAAAGGATAAGGATGCCACGCAGTCCAAAGTCTATCTTCCTCTGTTTTACTTGCTAATGTTATTGCCCATTATGGACCAAGCTGTTCCACAAACAGCAGAACCAGTAAAGCCTGTTTTTTTGTGCATTTGTGTCCTTTGCCCCCTACATACCCTTCACCAGTAGCTTCAGAGTCTTCCTGTATCCCTAAATAGTTTGGCTGGGCAAAGGCTCATCTGGTGCCTGGTGTGAAGATATCTATCTGCTGACTGACCATCTGGCTGTTGCCTCCTGGAGGAAGTTATTGCTGCCATTTTCCTCAGCTGAGGCACTAATTTGGATCTCTCTCCTCTACCAACCTGACAGTTTTCCGTGAAATTTTGAGAACATACTATCTTTTGGACTTCAAGCCCAGTGTCAACTTTGTCTGAAACTGGGCAGCAAATTCAGAAATTATGTCTGAGTGACTGACAGAGTGAGAGGGTCAGTATGCATAAGCCCCATTTCTTCTGAGAAGTGGGCTAAAAAAAATATTAAATATTCACTGGACCAGAAACTAGAAAACCCTGGTTGTCGCTCCTCTGTCTGACTCCATAGCCTGTGATAACAATATCCTCACCCTGTCTTTATAGCTGCATATCTATGTGAATATAAATAAAAGGATGATAAAATCAGTTATTCACAAACCTCTAACTATATGCAAGTCACCAAATGTTTAAAGCCTTTTTTTTGCTGCCTAGATTTCTGAATGGATTATAATTTTCTGTACAGATAGATTAACAATTTTTATGACATTTTAAACACACTGTTCTCGATCCATTGATTTTTGTGTCGTTTGTTTTTGTTGGGTTTTTTTTAGGGAGGCTGCATCCAACAATGAAGCAATGGCAACAATCCTTTTACAGAATTTGCTAATACAAGTGGATGAACAGCTGGACCGGGTTTCACAGGAGAAGAATCTTCTCTTGATACATAACCTGAAAAGAATCAGGAAGCTGCTGCAGGTAGGTCATTACTTCAGCTGACAAATTGCATACCCTTATCTGGTTTCTGAAGGTAGTGCCCAACCTCTGTTGAACACAGTTTGTTCCTGTGCACAGCTCAGAGCTGTCCTGATTGCTATAGACTCCAAGCAGCTACGGGAAGACCAAGCCTTCAACAAGATAGTTCAAAATAATAATTCCACTGACTGTTACTTTGTGGAACAGTAATTCCCATTTTAATGCACACTGCTCAGACACAAGTGTTGTGTCTTCTTGGCTCTGTATCTGCATTTCATTGAGCTCTTAAAAACAAGACTATAGTGCTTATGGATGTTGATGCTTATTACAAATATCATTACCACCTTTCAAACACCTACAGATATTTAACTATGGAATAAAATGCGTATTTGGGGCTTAAAGCAGCACCCTGAAAAAGGAACCCCTGTAAATCATTAGCATATTTGCTATTTTATGCTTAGCTGGGATTATTTGCTATAAATGCCGTAAAGGATTTTCCGTTAGGCTTCTGCAAAATGATATTTATTTTGACTGGCTAAACATTTCTCTAATAATTGTTTATCTAAGGCAAGGATTCTCAGAGTTCCACTTCATTAGTCACCTACTTCCTGACATCTGTCTTCTACATAAAACAGATAGGCATCTCAGTTTAATGAAAGTTTGGGGGTTTTTCTCTTCTTTGATGGTGTTTTCCATAAGTACTTAAATGATAATTATATTGCTTGCATGACATTTTCTTTTTATATATATATATATATATACACACACACACACACATACACACAGAGGTCTGGAAAGTCTTAGCATGACCTTGCCAATTATTTTGTTCTCTTTATGGCTTTGTGTCTTTCTATTCTTTATCCCTAATGGTGGCCTCTTAAAAATGTGACAATATTTCCATCACTACCACCACTACCACTTTTTCTTCTGGTGTGATGCAAGAAGTATCATGTAAGTTAAAACTAAAGTTGCTTTTGATTTCTTTTCTGGTTTGTGTGGCAGCCCTATCCATAATTTCAGCACTACTCAAACACCAAATTTACTTGACTGCTTTTGGAGTTAACTGCAGAAAGGTTAATCCTGTTATTTCTGTCATGGTCCTGGCCCACTTTACCACAGTAGGGTCGAGACAGAGCTGTATCACCTCAGCAAAGGTATTCTCCCACAGTAGCATACACATGGAAAGAGCATTTCAGGGCACTGAAACAAGCAGTTGCATTGGTGTATTCCTGGCTTAAAAGATAGTGCATTTGTGATTATACCATCACAACGTGCACATGCAGAAGTGCTGGCATATATTTACATACAGGCTCCACAAAATTAGGGTCTCTCACTGTTCCTCCTTCTTTTCACGTCATTTATTCTATTCTAAAATTTTTACCAAGATTTGAAGGGGCAGCTTTGTGTGTTCTGTGAAATTTGGCATACTGAGACAAGTGATCAGGCCTTGGGCACACACACACGGGTTTACATAATAGCCAGGGTGCAAATGGACAGAATGAAAACAATTTCCTTTAAGTCCTTGTGTGTTTGGAAATTATATTATGTGCTTCCCAAAGAGCACGAGGCAAAGGAAGCTTACTCCAGAAAAGCAAGAGGAGTTTTAAGTGATTTCTGATTAAGTGGTTTCTCAGCTGGCAAGGATCTGAGTCACCATTCCAGAACAAGCCAAAACACTCGAGCATCCTCATTACAACTGTACAGCAAGGTTACACTCACCACATACTAGTTACAACAGCAGCAGAACCAGCACCAGAGCTGATCTTTTCCTTCTCTAGTATGGCGGGTTTCCTTGGCTAGCAGCCAGACACAGCCACTTGCTCACTCTTCCCCCCACTGCCCAGGGAACAGGGGAGACAATTGGAAGGGTAAAAGTGAGAAAACTCATGGGTTGAGATAAAAATAATTTAATAATTAAAATAAAATAAAAATTAAAATTATAATAATAGTAATAGTGAAATATTCAAATGAGCACTGCACAGTGATGGTGATGCTTACCACCAACCAATGCCCAGCCTGTCCCCAGCTAATGATCCCGGAGCAGAGACAGTCCCAAAAAACAAAACCACAATCCCAGACAAGCAAGCCCAAGCAATCCTCAAGAGAATCCCCCTGCTTTCGAGTCAGCCCTCATTAATATACTGCACATGACATTATATAATATGGAATATCTTATTTACAAATCCAAATGCCAATTTTGGCTTTTGCTAATTACAACACTCCCCCGCTCCCCAAGTCCTTTGCACTTGCAGACTAGCAAAACACAAAGTCCTTGGACTTCCAGCAACAACTAAAAACATCAGGATGTTATCAACATTCTTCTCATAACAAATCCCATACTGAAACCAGAACACAGTGCTATTTTAGCAACTGAGAAGAAAATTAATTCTATCCTAGTGAAGCCAGGACATCTAGATAAAGTAACAGTAAGGCTCCAGGTGGAGTAGCCTAATCCATCGTTTCACTTGTTTACTGGCTCTGAAGAGAAGTGCTGCACAAGTTGCAATGTACAGCAACTTGTTTTCTCTATCACCCCATAGCACTGTGAGGCCCTGACTTAGCAAGCTCTCTCAAGCAGCAAGGCCTCTCTGCCCCCTTGGTTTGCAAAGGTCTGTAGGTTTGCAGTCTAAAGCATTATGTACTTCTTGAGAAGGTATGTGTGACACTAGAATTACACCGCTTATTAAAAAGGATCTCGGTCTTGAGCTTTGCAGTAAAATGATGCCAGCTGAGCAAAAAAGTACAACAGCTCTCTCCATCACTAATAATGTTGACCTTTCTCTATTATGTCTAGACAGCAGATGACCTGTATTTAGATAAAAAGTTACTTGTTAAGTTTCAAAATATACATGCAAACCACCAGATACTGAATGGCACTTTCACTATTAGAGTTTTTCCTGATTTCTTATGGCCTTTAGCACCATTACCCACAGCCTATTCTGACTTACAAAATAATTTCTATAGGCTGGACTCTTGCAATGGGGTTTTTATTTTTATGATTAGTATTATTTTGGATAAGGCAAATAACTTACATTTGTGACACAAGTATTTTAAACTTTTGTGTAAAAAATTACATTACAACTTCTGATTTTTAGAATGTAAGTGATAAATGCATTTTCAGACAAAGTATGGGCTACATGTTCTATAGAGCTGCACGGGCAGTCGTCTGAGCTTCAGCTGTTAAAATTATTTCTTTATTGGTTAGGTAACTACATCAGGAAAAAATGCTATAATAGTTATAATCAGCTGACATAATTATTAACTTGTTATTAACTGTCAGGTATTATTAATGGACTATGAACCTGTACATGATACATAGTATGGACAGTATCTGCTGTAATGTCCTTAAACTTGAGTATGCAAATTACATAATTATAGGTCTAATTTGTTTAATGCATCACTGATTGTATTTTATTGCTGAATATATGAGAAGTTTGGAACTGGGCATTTGGCTCCCTACATACAGCTGGATGCACTTGCAGATGCCTAACTCTCACTGGTTGAGCTAGTTTGTGACAGTTCCATGAGACAACGCCAGAAAAAGGTGGCTGATGTACACAGCACAGTGCCACGGTCCCTTTTGTCCCGACATACCAGCTAGAGAAAGGGAGACTGGAAGGGTACGCTGTAAAACTCACAAGATTTTTCAGCGACTTTGATGGAGGAAAGACTGGGTTCCTCAATAGGAGAGGAAGCTGCATTTGTGCACGTCTTTTCATTCCCGGTGACCCTGTGTTGGTTTGATTTTCTCTGAAGGTTAGTTGCCATGAGCCCACCTTTACCTCTGCTTTGCTCTCTAGCACAAGCACTTCTTTGAAATTTCACAGTTCACTCCTCTTCCTTCCCCTCTGTACCACACACACAGACCTGCAGACACACGTACAGCGTACACACATGCACACACAAAGCTGTTCAACCTCAGTACGTGATCCAAGTGCAACGTTTGTTCATTATTTTGAGCCAAATTGCATTACAGTATTAAGTAATACTTGTCAAACTAGGTAATGCTGGAAACCAGCATTTATCACTTATGTATGTAGAGTAGTATGTTGAGCTACAGTCTAGGTTCCTAAATACTATGACAGTAGCAATAATAAAATAATTAAAATTAGGGAACACACAAAAGTCATTCAAAAGCAATTTGTAGTTCTTGACAAAAGGCAAAATGATGGATTACTATTTAATTAGAAATACAACTAGCTCATTAATGAAGAGCAGCCTTAGAAGAGGAAGCACCACACGCTTTACAAATGGTTTGTGCAGCTGTTTGCTAGACAGCAAAGGACTCGTTAGGATCAAGATTCCTGGTGCTGTTACTGAATCTAGAAAGAATTATGCCTATGAGTTACCAGCACCACAGCCAAGCACACTCCACCCGAAAGATCCCCCTGGGATTCATTTTTTGTTATAAAATGAAGAAAAATCACAGAATCACAAAGTGTTCTGTTGTGAGCTTCACCTGAAACACCTTTACATAAACGTTTTAGTTGCTCCATTAAAAGTGATGGAAGTGGTGGAAGAAGTGAGAGCTTGCCTGCCTCATGCTTGCCTTACAAAGCTTTGGGCCATCTCAGGTGTTGTGAAGGGCAAAGAGCAGAAGTCTTAGCAGGGAGCTGGGTCTGCCTGGCACCAGGTCTTGCCAGGCCACAGAGACCATCCCTATTCTCTCGCCATTAGAGAAATAACTATGGAACATGGCATTTATGCTCAGGCTGCTGGCATTTCCAAAATTATCTTGAGGCAAAAAGAAACACTGAGCAGGAAACATGCCATTTGACAAAGTTAAAAGCACTTGAAAAAGTGCTGAGAAACTTAGCTAAGCAGCTGAGGTTACTGCTACCCCTCAGTAATTTGCTTCTCTATTTCTGGTTTCCAGTGCAACATTGCTTCTTGACATTAGTCTTGTATAAATGCACATATTATATTAAAATCAGGGTCAGCATTTTAGGTTTGTATCCTTCATATTTACTTCTTAAATTATTATTACTTCTGTAGTCAATAAA